AGGGAAAGACCTATCCTTGTCTATGTAGATCAACGTTAGAAAATGTTAACCTGCACTACTTTTTGGTTTCCAAAAAGGCAGACCTCTTAAGTATTAGTCCCTAAGACTTGTTTGCTATATGGCTAAAATTATTATTTATTGTTCTTGGAAATATAAACTCAAATTTTACATTCCTATGCAATAAAGGATTAGTTACAAAAATATCTAGGTTATGAAATGTAAGAATACATATTCTTGTGTATAATAATCTTGAATTAATATTTTTTCCACAGAATCTGTTTACCATCACCAGTCAGTGTAACAGAAAACACAGTATTTAGCATGTTTTTAAAGCAAGAATGTAAACACAATTGGCTGACACAGCAAATATGTGTGCTGCTTATGGATGTGCCCCAGGCAGACTTCTACACAGTCGTATTTCCATAAAATGAAGAAGATACAAAGAATGATCTCTTGTTAAAGCCTAACTGATTTTATAGCATTAAAACAGAACACTAAAGCAAATGAAGAATTCAGTCCAAATTTCCAGGTCTTAGTTCAGTCATATGTCCCCATTCTATTCAATGCTTCCCATCTGCAGTGGCAAAAAGAGGGAAGGTATACAACCATGACTCAATCCTAGAGCATACCCACTGTCTCTTCTGAGCAAAGCAGAGTGTGAAAAAAAAGAACTACATACTGAAGATGCACACCATCACACTGTACATACAGAGACTAAATTTTCATGTCACAGACAGCCTTAATTCTCAGCATTCCTCTGATTTTGTAACTTTAAAGACACACTTCAACCTTCTGTGATTACCACCTGCACATAGATACATAAGGCAGTGTTTATTCATTTAATACTGGTTTCAAAAATTTAACTCCCACATATTGCAAAGTGTTTTTAAAAGTATCTCACAAAATGGAGAGAACAGAAATAAAGACTAAGGGAAGAATATAATTTTTCTTGAATTAATTATCACATTATTTTAGTAATTTAGATTGTAAAAAGCACATGAATTATTTCAACGCACAGAGTTAGAATCACTACTTTTTTTTCTACCTGTCCAAGTTCTTCATTGAGATTTGAAGTACGAGCCATTGCAGCAGTGTCTGTAGGTTCATAGTGCATGTCAATGTCCTACAGATAAAAAAGTGTGCATTTTAAAAGTTAGTCTTCCATATCTTACTACAAGAAATCTAGTACATAAAAAGTGTAGAAGGATAGATTGAACATGAATACAAGTTATCTACTTATGACTATTTCAACATGGGAAGCCAGACACAATCAGATCACCTCCAAGAGTCCCCAGAAAAAGAAATTAAATTCCCTCTTTAAAACAAAAACTTGTATGATTCTTTTGAGATTTTACCCTCATTATTTCTAGTGATCTATATAATTGAAAAACTGTTGTACTAATGCATCTAAAATAGATTTAGCAACAAGCAAGGAGAAATAGTACATTGTAACACTTAGAGAGAAGTCAGTCTTATCTATTTACACTGTACACACAACCAGTCATTTCTAAACCACAAAATAAATACATTTTGAGATAAAAACAGAGATTGATTTCAGAGGACACAATAAACGTATGGTATACTACAAGTGGTGGGGTTTGGTTGGTTTCGATTTTCTTACTTGTTAAAAAAAATAAATCAGATTTTATTAACAAAAAATATCAGATTATTAAACACACTAAAAGATTAAAACATTATGATATATGGCAATGTAGTGCAACAGATTGCAGATGACCAGCTTCTCTACCGGTGTGATATGCACACATGCAAAGGTAATGTTCAAGATAATACATGTCCTGAGTCACAGATTAAGATAAATTAAAGAAAACTAAACCTTCATTATGACAAATGAAAGGAGGAACAGAAGTGAAATCAGTCTTTCGAAATTGTTGTATAAACAGTTGCCAGTCTACATACTCAAAATGAGTGAGTCTTTGTGGAATATTTATTTTAGAATAAAGAACATAAAGGAAGACTTTCACTGTCAGCAATTTGTTCTATAGCACAAAATGAAATGAAGAAATCAAGACCAGCTGACAGCTGACAAAAAGATTTAGCTTTTAAAATAAAGCATACACTTCACCTGTTATTCCACATACAGTGTCATGCAGATGCAGACAAAAGTGTCTTTCACGCACACAAATCTGTTTCACAACTTTTACCAAGGAGCCAAATTAAAGAGTTCAGAATGGTATGATTAATTTATATACTGGGAAGATTGAAGGCATGTTATCAAAAGTACTTCCATGGCTTTAAGAATACTTCACCCACACCCTCTTTCCCCTCCATTTAATTAATTTAAAAAAAAATAATTTTGACATTAATATTTTGTAAGAGATAATAGTAACAGATGCCGAGTCTGAAAAAAACCCCCAAACCACAACATTAAACTATGGTGGCAAAATCAGCAAAATACCAAAATAAAACCCAGAACATGTACTATGCTTAGAAAGAACAAATGGAGCAGGACAAAACTCCACTGGACCGCAAAACACTTTTTTCTGATCATTCTGGATGAACCTGATACCCGAATATTAATAATGAGAAAGTACAAAACACATTAAAATATGTTCCAAAAAGCAGCTTGGTGCAGGTATAAAAGCACCAAGTACAACCATTTATTATTACTTTCTCAGATTCCAGTAATAATAAATAAACAGCATACTTAAGTATTTACATTAAGAAAAACTCTGAAAAAAAAATTTACAAGTAGACAAGCAAGCAATAATTTCACTTACTCGTAAACCATTTGATTTTAGAAGTCAATGCATATTGTAAAAATAATATTTACCCAATTTATGAAATATGCCTGGATAAATTTAACAACTTCAAGTGTAACCAACAAACTTATTGGAATAAGATTATTGAAGAGAATGATAAAAGTCAAGAAATTCAATCCAAAGTTGCTTGCTCCACCATCTGCCAAAAAACAAAGCCAGTAAAAAAAAAATTAAGAACATACTTAAACGTATATATATACATTGTATTCAGAGCATTGCATTAACTGCTAATTTTAAAACAGTTCTGTGTCTAAGAGGAAACTTGAGAATTATGGTATCACTTGCCAGTAAGTATGGCCTTTATAAGAGTTAAGAATCTTTATTATAAAGTGGAGTTCAAATTTAGAGGTCTTTGCCATTTTCACGAAGTTCTGAAAAGCAAATTTACCAGCTATTTCCTCTTTTGCTACATTTTAAGATCATAATCTGGGAATATCTGTATATAGCAACCAAATTATAAACTCTAGATTAGAGTTTTATATTTTTAAAGGGGGAAATATGGAGTGGAACGCATTTTTTCTCTATCCACCCTTACACCTTCCTATTGCCCTCCAATCCACCAAAATTCTATGAAAAAAGTAAATTCACATCACATGAAAAAAAGAGATTAGATTAGAGAGTTTAATAAAATTTCTGAAAGGACAGGAAATGTTACTATTAACATATATAACAAGAAGTTTTATATTACTTCTGTCTTTTAAAGTTTTAGGTAATTCTAGTAGTAGTACCTCAGAGAGGATGCAAACAGAATAGCAGTTTGCTCTCCAGCACAGCAAAAGGGTATAAGCTGTAGCCTGCTTGTCTGTATTTAAAGATCTCTCAAAGAAAAAAAAAGTTTCAGATGCATTTCCAGTGCCTATGGAACGTGGACCTGGTTGCTGCTCTGTGATCGAAGTGAGCAAGTTTTGAATACTTTCATTAAACATAAATTCCAGCATCAAATGAAGAAGTCTTTGACCAGAGAGCTAAAGTTCACCATGACATTAATATCCTCAATGACAATGGAGATTAAATGAAATTTGATCTCTATTGCTACCTGTAGATAAAATAATATTCAGATATTTATTGCCAACATTAGCATTTTTTTTTTTTACCATCCACAGGCAACAGACTGCTCTAACTAAACACTAACAGCATTCAGAAAGGTGGGGTATTGCTGGGAAACTGTTTCACTACCACATAAAAATTCAATAACTAAAGGGAAAGGGGAATAAATTGCTTCTTACATATTAGAAGTATCTTGTACAAAAGCAACTATAAGTTGAATGCAGCCTTAAAGGGCGGATATTACAAACTACAAAATTTCATTTAATCATGGGGCATGTATTAGAAAATAAACTGACAGGGATAGTCACTTGAAGAACAGACAAAATATCAGTGACCACTATTTCATGTTTTGTGCTAACCACCATATTCTGAAAACTTTTACATATCACAGAAAAGAAAATAAATGCATTGAAAGGAAGAATCAGGTAAAAAATAATAAATGAGAAAGCAGATCTAATGCAATCCTTGTGGTAATATAATTACTGGAAATTGTCAATATTCCATTAATGATTTAACTTTTTTCCACCTCAAGATGAAAATCTGAAAGTTAAGTTTCTTCCTTTTTTTAATTTAGAAAAAGTTTCTTCCTCAGCATCAAAAAGAGAAGCAAGGTTCTCAGTAAAAGAAAGTTCATCATAAATGCAGATGTTTTGTTCAAAAAGAACTTTAAAAGAGTGTTTTCAAAACAGAAATTTAAGAATTTTAGTTTAAAACTGACCAAACCACCCCATAATCCCTACTGCAATGACTACATTGAGTAGCTTTCTTTGTATTCAAGACTGTTGTTTTGGAAGCAGAAAGCCTAGTTCTGGTTCTACTATCTAAATAAAGCAAGTTCTAAGCCCACTATAAGAAATTCTGAAAACATGAGTAACTGACCACAAAGTGTATTTTTGAACGCTTCCCTCACACACGGTCAAATTACGTCAACTGTTGCATGCTGCTGTGAAAGGCCCACATAACATCACATTGCCTTGCATCCACCATGGCTGCAGCCACCCAGTTTATATCAGATGAGATCTTTTGTGCCTGTTTATCTTCTTTAGGAGCTGTCTGCTAAGATCTCATGTTGGCAGCCAGTAATTAATTAGAATCCTGTATAGTATAAATTATAAAGCCACAACATCATTTCGTGCAATGAGGGAGCTTAAAAATTCAGAAAAGTCACTGCACCTTTAAATGTTATCCACCAGTAATAGCTGCAAATGGCCTTTGTCTGATGTCATGAAACCTGACTGCTGCTACCATTGCAATGCTGATACAGACCCTGCTGAGCTGCAGAGATGTAAAGACTGAAAGATGTAGAGGCAAACAACAAAGCTCCCCTTCCTGAATTTAGCAAGAGCTAAGATGGCACAGTAGGACAGATTTTATACATGCTGTAATAAACCTAGCCTAATGACTTTAGTCAACAATCAATGAAGAAAGACTAATAAAAACCACACTGTGTAAAAGATGGTAATTATCCTCTTTTCTAAATATGAAAGACAGCTGAACACTGAAATATTAATATTTTACATCTTACAATTCAGATCAAGATACCAGTCTCTGCCAGTATGCCTTCGATTCCATATAGCTGAACCAATAGAGCAGATCAAAGACATTGCAATAAGGATGCAGAACAGAATCAAAATCTGAATATTTGTAATTCGTTCCACATTAGACATTTTAAGAGGTGGACTTGTTGAATTCTGCAAAGACAAAAACCAACAGTGGCAATTAAATATTACAAGAGGTACATGCAGACCTCGCTTTCGCATCCTTTTATAAATATTCTTCCATAGATATCATCACCATAAATGGCATAACTCTTTCACTCAAAAGAAAGAAAAAGAGGCAGCTTGTAAACCCATAAATTTAGAGATGTAGATTTGTGTCACAAGCAGTTTAAACAATCACACAGAACAGCAACAGCTAACAGTACACATTAAGAGTGACTGTACATACACCTTACCAGTGCTACAGAAGACAACTGCTAATAGAGGCAATTGAACTTTTTAAGAGAGCTTACAAATCAGAGAAGCAGTAAGAGACATGCATGACCAATCTGAATGCAGACCTTTTTTCTCAACAAATGCATCTCAATTTTGCTATTTCAAACAGCAGTAGGAAAAGTAATTTCATTGTCTGAGAATGGTTCTCTTCCTTCATTTTCAATAAAGTTTCACTTTTGTTTTCTGACAAGAATGCTTACCTTTGAACTTGAAAGAAAGCTCCACAAGAGGACAGTTTTAGGAGCAGTTAAAAATAAAAAAAGATTAACAGGCAAACTATAATGATCCAGTTTGCTAACACAATAGTTTTCAAAACACAAGTTACAAAATTGACTCAACAAATATGCTTGCTACTGGCAAAACTACTCTGTGGCTAAGTGACTAACAGTAACAAGAAACTGCTTTATTTTTATTTGGTTTACTACATAAGAAGGACGCTCTATTTCTGACATTTTAATTACTATGTTGAATCTGGCTATGTTTTTTGAACTGATTTTCTGTGCTCTGTAATGGCATAATAAGGTAACAAACCAGATAATTTAGAGAGAAAAAAAACCAAGTGACAAACCTGCATAAGTTTTGTGTCGTGTCCTGTATAGACAACTATCCCATGAACCCACTGAGTATTTCTCAACTGAGCTCCTCGTAGAAGAATCTGATCAGATCCCAAAGGAACAGTCCTAGGAAGAAGGAATTTTATATTTCAGCATTAAAACAATGTCAAAGAAGAAATGTAACCAGCAGTTGTTAAAACTTACTAGCTAATTTCTCAAAATGTGCATGATTATTCTAAGTATTCTAGGAATTCAATTTTCAAAGTTAATTTTTTGAGAGTGTTGACAGAGAGAAAACTTGACAGTTTAAAGCAAGTCCAAAAATCTAAGTTTGCAAAAGTATTACTGATCACTTAATTTTGTCTATGGACATTAAAGATATGGTGCTACTTAAGCAATCATACTGAAACTAACAAAGGCTAATTTTCCCTTGATTTATGATTACAAAGTTTTTTCCTAAGTGCTTGCTGAAATTCAACTACTCTTATAGAACTGATTTTGTAAAGCAATTTTCAAATGAAATAATTTTCTGAACTCTCAATCCACTCTTCCAGTGAAACAAATAACCCTTATGATCATGATTAACTGTTTAAAATTCAGATCAGTATTTTCTGCACCTTCTTTAAATTGCAAAGCCAAGAAAATTTACCCGTGTTACCTTTTAGAACTGCACCCACTAAACAAGCAACAAAACCTTGTAAGGTGTTAGAAACACTGTCTTACAATTTAGACAACTGACTTTATACACATACTGTAGCTCATGTTTTTCTTAATATAAGAAGTTTTAGATGTTTGTTCCAGGGAAATAGTAATAACTCATACTCTATTTTTGCACTTCTCTTTCTATCAATACCAGCTAGCAGTTCAGACTTGACAACAGTGCTCTAGTGTTTGGCATTCTTACCTAAAACTGTTATCTCTGAAGTTGTTTAAAACCAACGCATTATGAAGATCACAAATAAACTGCTTAATGACAGTTACTATATCTTTGATATGTATGACACAAAGAGTCTGAGGAAGCCATGATATTTGGTAACATTTCTGGTAGCACAACAAGCATCAAGTTAGTCTATGCAAGTAAGTTTCAGGTAATTTTTTTTTTTGTTTGTTTGTTTGTCATGTTGCCCTCTCCTCTCACAAACAAGCTTTTAAGATTCAAAGACTGCAAGTAAAGAGAAAACAACACATTCTTCCTCCCCTAAAATTAACAGTGCAATGTTAATTTGCAGAAACTAGAAAAAAAAAAATTGATCTGGAGAAGTATTTAAGTTTTTTTTTCTGTAAAAAACTAAACAAATAACAAACACAACACCACCACAACTAAGTCCTCTTACTTTCTAAGAAACTAACATGAAGCACACTGACTGTTTAAGGAATCATTCTCCCCACCAAGTAAGCATGTTTCAGCAACTGAAATGTTGAATGATACTGAAAATAATTTCCAGGTGCAGTCACTTCATCAAAAGAAGGAACTGGAAAAGAAAACTGAAATGAAAAACTTACTGAAATTTACTTGCTTTCTAAATCTGAACTATGTTGCTCTTGAATTTTAAATGTGTTCATGACATGGCAAAATTAAGAGAATAAGTGTCCTTTCCATGAAAAGAACTGCTGGGGTTTGAATTACAAAAGAATCATTAAGAGGGACTCCTGCTGCCATTAAAGATTGTCCCTGCACTTACATTTATTTGCATTCCTGGATCAGAATCATTCTAAGACTTTTGAACCACCCATCAGTACAACACGTAGACATTTCAGTTAAGGAATGGATTACATATCTTTCCAAGAATAATTAGATATTTTTAGTCTACTAACACTAATAACATAGTAAGAGAAGATGAAAAGTAGAGGAAGTTACTTTTAAGCTCGCCACGGATAAATTGGAAACATTTCCAACTCTGGACCACCTCTGGAATGCTAAAAGACTTTCTGTCCCTCCAACCAACAACTGCTCCAGCTTGGGACAAGAACTCATCCTCAAGCGTCTGTTACTGGGAAGACAATCAGGAGAGACTTAAGATTGCAGCCAGTGGAAGCTGTCTCTAGCAGAACTGCTGCACAGACCAAGGAGATAAAACAGACAGCAGAACTACTAGGGACATAAAAAGCCCAGATCTGCCATGTGTCATGCTGATCCTCAGTGTTGTGATCTTATCCCATTCTCTAATGAGGTGATGGTGCAATGACTTGACAGAGCTCTGGCCTCAGCCTTCTCAAAAAACACTCCAACTCCTCTGCTCCTTCTTGTACACTACACAACTAACTACTCCTCAGCAATGTATCTGGGTTCTATTTGGTAAGGGATGTTCTCAGTGGGAGAACCCTTTCAGCATATCTTTCTGCCAGGGCTGTCAAGGGTATATTAAGGGCTACTAAGACACATTTGAAAACTTACATAGATAAATGTTTTTCTTAACAAGCATACTTTACTCTTATCCAAAATTTTCTTAAGAATGTCTTCAGGAAAACATTTACTTTAGGTCTGGATAACCACTATCTGCGCCCTTGTTTTCCATTTCCTCACTGTTTTTCTCTTGAATCTGATCATATTTTCAAATTTACCCAGAAGACACATTTGAAAACTTACATAGATAAATGTTTTTCTTAACAAGCATACTTTACTCTTATCCAAAATTTTCTTAAGAATGTCTTCAGGAAAACATTTACTTTAGGTCTGGATAACCACTATCTGCGCCCTTGTTTTCCATTTCCTCACTGTTTTTCTCTGAGTCTGATCATATTTTACCCAGGCTAAAGAACTTTTCTCCTTCACATAGGTAATTGTCTTCATTGCCTCAAACCAAATGACATGCTTCTACATATTCATGAGCATAAGAAAGAGGTGCATTACTTTGGAGACAGAATAGTTAACACACTGAAAAGCTGAGGATAGCCTGAAAACTTTTTTGGGCTCTTTTAGTTCACAGATTAGCCAAATGGCAAAGTCATGGTGGTGGCATTCTAAGTCATTAAATAGCTCAGTATCCCAAAGGGAAAAAAAAGAAAAAAAAAAAAACAAAAAAAAAAAAAAAAAA